ACCCATTAATTTCATTTGGTGTCCTCTAGTTTTTCTATTATGGGCACTAATAAATAACTTTTCTTTATCCACCCTCTCCACACCACTCATGATTTTATAGACCTCTATCATATCTCCTCCCAGTCTCTTTCATATAGGCCCCGTTCCAAACCCCTAATCATTTTAGTTGCCCTTTTCTGAACCCTTTCCAAGGCCAAAATATCTTTTTTGAGGTGAGGAGACCACATCTGTACACAGTATTCAAGATGTGGGCATACCATAGTTTTATACAGGGGAGGTAAGATATTCTGTGTCTTATTTTCTATCCCTTTCTTAAAAATTCCTAACATTCTATTTGCCTTTTTGACTGCAGCTGCACACTGCGTGGAAGTTTTCAGAAAACTATCCACGATAACGCCAAGTTCTCTTTCCTGATTTGTCATAGCCGAATTAGCCCCCATCATACTGTACGTATAGTTGGGGTTATTTTTTCCAATGTGCATTACTTTACACTTTGCGCAAAAATGGCAGCTTATTAAGTATGCAAATGAGACGCAGCGATAGTCACCACTTCACCTCATTTGCATATGTTCTTGCACAAGAGAGGGCAGTGTAGATGTAGCTCTAGTGTGGTTTACTATCCCATGTAGTTGCACTTAGACCACTTACAATGAGAGAGAAGAACAAGGGAGCTCTAAAGCATAAACTGAGAGGCAGCTGGCTTTTTAGATCAAGCTGTAGCAGCTCCTATACTAAATTCCAGATGTTCCAGATTAAAATCTGCCTGGTGGTGGTTACAGTGGCATTTAGACCACTTACAGAGAGAGGGATAAAAATGAGTGAGCTCTACAACCTTAGCTGAAAGCCAGCTGGCTTTATAGCTCAAGCTGTTGAGGCTCATGTACGAAGTTCCAGGTTTGGTTCTGCCTGTTGGTGGTTACACATGCATAGGGCAGATCATAAAATCCAGTTCTCCTCGGATCCCACAGGTAGTGAGAGGGTGATTCTGGTCAGTGATTGAGAGAGTTCCAGTAAGCAGTGGTATAAATACCTTCTCAGTGCCCCTCCCTCATCCAGCTATTTCCTCTCCCCCCGAAAGGGAAATCTCTCTTTCTCACCCACTCTCCAGAGCAGGAGGGGCATTACGGCTGTCCTGTCAGCTCTTCCTGACACTCGGACTAAGAATTGCAACATTTCATAGATTTCCATGCCAAGAGAGACCATTATGATTATCTAATCTAACCGCCTTCATAGCACTCCACCTAACATGTCACCAACCAGCTCATGAATGAAGTTCATAACAACTGTATGAAATAGAGCATGTCCTTGATAATGGTATCCAATCTCAATGAATGATTCCAAGTGATGAAGATTCCACCACATCCCTAGGTAAGTAGTTCCAATGGTCATAGACCCTCACATTACTTCTGTTCTGATTTTATCTAGCTTCAACTTCCAGCCTTTGGATCTATTATGTCTTTGGGAGACTGCAAAGCCCTCCATCAAAATCAAAAAATCTTCTCCCTTAGGGTATGTCTACACTCCCCCGCTAGTTCGAACTAGCGGGGTAATGTAGGCATACCGCACTTGCAAATGAAGCCCGGGATTTGAATTTCCCGGGCTTCATTTGCATAAGCCGGGCGCCGCCATTTTTATAACCCCGCTAGTTCGAACCCCGTGCAGCGCGGCTACACGGGGCATGAACTAAGTAGTTCAAACTAGGCTTCCTAGTTCGAACTGCCATTACTCCTCATTCCACGAGGAGTAACGGCAGTTCGAACTAGGAAGCCTAGTTCGAACTACCTAGTTCATGCCCTGTGTAGCCGCGCTGCACGGGGTTCGAACCAGCGGGGTTTTAAAAATCGCGGCTCCCCGCTTATGCAAATGAAGCCCGGGAAATTCAAATCCCGGGCTTCATTTGCAAGTGCGGTATGCCTACATTACCCTCCTAGTTCGAACTAGGAGAGTAGTGTACACATACCCTTAGAGATATTTATAGACCACGATCAGGTCACCTCTTTACTTTCCATTGGATAAACAAAACAATTTGAGTTTCTTTAATCTTTCATTATAAGGCAGATTGTAAAGATCTCATATTTTTGTAAAAGGTTTAGGAAAAAGCTACAATTTGTCACTGTCCATTTTTAAATATGTACACCAGAACTGGACACAGAATTCAACCAATCATCTCCCTAATACCATATAGTCCTTCCAGCCAAAGAATCACAATTGCTTCCATACTGGGGAATCTATGGTGTTAGACATCAGGCAGAAGCAAAAGGCTTGTTATGCACTAGAAAACTGATTACCCAAGCATTCTGGTAAGTATCAATGATGAGACTAAGATATTTAACATAGCATTAAGCTAACGGTTAAAATTATATTAAACAGGCCCCAATCCCACATATGCATACACGTGTATAATTTTACTACTATGCATAAACATATGAATAAGTAATTTCAGGATTAAGGCACTTATTTCTTTTCTCCAAGCAGTTATAAGTTCTTAAAATAATTACCATGTGTGCTGAAATATCTCAGGCTTTTTTTTTTATGCTATGCCGAGTTTTTCGTGAAAAGTTTAGTAGTAAATTCCTTTTTTTATAGGGAGTGGATGGTTGGTATTTTGTTTTGTTTATTACACTAATATATTTTTGAGATGCACTACCTTTTCTGAGAACTCAATCATTTACATATTTGAGAGAGTTAATTTGTCTGTGAGTCTGTCTGTTCAAGAACTCCCTGTAAACAGTAAGAGCTAGGACAACCAAATTCGGTATACAACTTCCTCTTATCCTAATTTAAAGCAAGGTAAAGGTTTTGTTGTGCCATGAAAATGGGAGTTCCTGAAATAGGATTGCTCACAAAAAAGAAAGGGATTTCCCTGCTAATATAATGACCACATGGGGGCAGCAGGTGATACAGGATAGAAAGCAGGGACAGTTATACTGTATAATGACCACAGGTGGGCAGCAAGAGCCAGAGATGAGAACTGGGAAGCAGGAGACAAGGCTGGAGAAAGGGATAGCTATCTATTACACATTTGAGAGAGTTTGTTTGTATATCTGTCTGTAAGAACTCCTAAACAATAAAAGCTATGACCCCAAATTCGATGTACCGCTTCTTCTTATAACGTAGAGCAAGATAAGGGTTTGGTTGTGCCAGGAAAATGGGATGTGCCTATAATAGGATTGCTTCTCATAAAATCATGCAGAAGACAGGCAAGGGGAAAATGTAGTTCACTGCATTCCTCACTCTGGCTACGGAGCACAGACAGCAGATGAACTTTGATGTGTCCCAGCTGAGGGACAAGCACATGTCCGTGGGTTGAGTCCTCTGGAGCTGCAGTAGCCATAAAAAGAATTTTCTCATCTGCCCTTGAGACTACGTCTACACGGCAGACTACTTGCACAAGAATCTTTTTGCAGAAGAGATCTTCCGCAAAAAAGTTCTTGCGCAAGAGAGTATCTACACTGCATAGATGCTCTTGCACAAGAAAGCTCTGATTGCCATTAACAGAATGGCCAGAGCAACTGTGCTTTTTCTGATAGGCTGGTTTTGCGCAAGAAAACTCTGTTTGCCATCCATACACACCTTTTTGCACAAGAGCTCTTGTGCAAAAAGGATTATTCCTCATAGAAAGAGGAATAACTCTTGCACAAAAAGCTCTCTCTTCTTACAATGTACTGAAAATTTTCTTGTGCAAAAATGTGCTTGTAGTGTGGACGCTCTGTGAATTTTTGGGCAAAAATGGCTGTTTTGAGCAAAAACTCTGGGCTACGTCTAGACTGGCCACATAAGACGGAATAGGCATGCAAAGCAGGCAAGTCAGAATAGGGAAATCCGTGGGGAATTTAAATATCCCCCGCGGGATTTAAATAAACATGGCCGCCGCTTTTTTTCCGGCTTGGGGAAAAGCCGGAAAAGAGCATCTAGACTGGCGCGATCCTCTGGAATAAAGCCCTTTTCCGGAGGATCTCTTATTCCTACTTGCAAGAGATCCTCCGGAAAAGGGCTTTATTCCGGAGGATCGCGCCAGTCTAGACGCTCTTTTCCGGCTTTTCCCCAAGCCGGAAAAAAAGCGGCGGCCATGTTTATTTAAATCCCGCGGGGGATATTTAAATACCCCGCGGATTTCCCTATTCTGACTTGCCTGCTTTGCATGCCTATTCCGTCTTATGTGGCCAGTCTAGACGTAGCCCTGCAGTGTAGATGTAGCCTAAGTCGCTGCAGTGAGAGAGGGCAAGTGTAGTCCCCTCTCATTGATGCAGCCTGTATACTTAACCCTTCATCCCCAACTTCACCCCAAACCAATGATTTAAATGAAGAAAAACAAAAATCAGTTGTGTTAAGGATCCCAGTAACACCAGGTAAATCTTATAGTATATAACAAAAATCTGAAAATTGGCAGGAAAATTTCAAATTACTCAATGAGGACAAGAGCCTTATGGCTCTTGAGGAAATGTGCCTGAGAAACAGTAATTACAGATATCTTAAATATCCAATGCAAAGGACAGGTAGGAACAGCAGCACAAACAATCAATTATGGGAGGAGGAGAGAAGTAATTGGGCAAGGGAAGTGTCAAAGCGTCAAACAATAGTTGTGGGAGCCTGTTACAGGAACAATGATTTCCTAAATTGTGTTTAAGTAACGTGGAAAATAGGCAGCAGTGCCATGTAAGATTAGAAATTGAATAGGTTTTAATTTGACAAAGTTAATCCACTTGGTGACTTGAGAGAATAGTGAGTGTGGATCAATAAACTTTTTAATTTCACTCTCCTTCACAACACAACACAGGCTTGAAAAGAGGTTTATTGAAATATTTTTCCTAGTTCGAAAAAAAAATCTGATCATAACATGAGTCAAGGATATAAGCACAAGTTCCATACATTGCCGAGAACTCGATACTTCTATGGCTCTTAGAAACAAATGTTACTGCTGTACTTTCAGTTTCCCATGTAGATATTTTTCCTTAAAACAGATCAGTCTTCATTGCATCAGTAGTGCTTTGATTACTTACCTCCTGGAAGGAGCTGGGGTTTGTTTTTTACTAATGGGCTATAATGGGAGATTTTGTTGCTGAATGATGTAAAGAGATGTTCACTGAAATCATCAGGCAGCTCTGCCTCCAGAAAAGTCTTCATGAACAGCTTGAAACCTTCTATATCAATCATCTGAAGTTTAAAAACAAAGGAAAGAAATTTTTAAGTTCTGGCATTTCACAATAAATCTCATATTAAATAGAGATGTTAAAATTAGATTAATCAACTAATCAAATAGTCGATGGAATTTCCATTAACTATTCGATTAGTTGATAAGGGCGCTTTCAGTTTGAAATGTAGCAAGTTCCCTCTGGGCTCTTGCTACATTTCAAAGGTGGAAGTACAACAGATTAAAACGCAGCACGGAGCCTAGGGCCAGCGGGTGACTCTCAGATTCCCCTGCTGTACCCAGGCTCCATGCAGCGCTTCCACTTTGAAATGTACAAGAGCCCCAGTGGGAACTCTTGTACATCTCAAAAAGTTAGAACACCACTGCTGCACCCCTACCTACTCCCACGGAGCTGGAGTTGCGGGGAGCCAATTTATAAGCCGGCTCCCCCCAGCACATCCTCCTCTTCTCCTCCTCTACTGCCTCTTTCTTAAAGGGGCAGTAAGAGGGGGGGAAGCAACTAGTCGACTTCTGTGTTGACTATCCAAGAAGCTTTTGCTTACAAGATGGTTGACTAGTTGTTTAGTTGCTTACATCCTTAATATTAAATAATATTTTGGTTATTAGCTGAAACATTAGAAAAGCTTTAATGTCATATTTTATAAAGGTAAAATCACAATTTTAACTCACAAAACTACAACATTTTATTAATATTTCAAAAATTCGCAGCCTTCAAAACTTCATCTACAGCATTTGGCCTTAATTCTTATTTTTTTAAGGCTCATCTATGGCCCCTTTACACCACTAGAATGCTGTAAACTAAGGGTCTTCAGCATAAATAAGAACAAGCCCATTTGTCTTGAGGACTTCCAATAGCAAAGCATTTCACATGTTAACTACACACCTATATGTAAAGAAAAGTTTCCTTATAGTTTTTAATCATTTAATTTGTTCTTGTATCCTACAGCATAGTAAATTGGAGAGAGTAGTAAGTCTATAGTGCTGCTTTCATTTTGATGATACAATAATATCACTTATTAAATTAACAGTAAAAGCTCACAATTACATTTTATCCTACTGAGTAACATGGAGTGATTCAGAGACAAAAGATGTCATTGAACAGATCAAAAGGTTTTGTGATATTACAGTTAGTGTCATAATTGTATACTCATCACTGGAGTTATATGGTTATGTCAGGGATTATGTAAAAAAGCAGTATTATAATTTTTTTTTATAGTAATATAAAGGATAGATTACGTTGCCTGCCTTTGTTTATACATTATAAACCATGATGGTAACTTTTTTTTCCTGTGTAACTATATGGTAAGACCTTGATCACACACCATTCCTGGAAGCTGCCACAGAGGCATTGTGAGATTTTCACTCACACCACCCTGACCCAGCATCTCCCATTGGCCAAAGTTCCCAGCCAATGGGAGTTGTAGGGGCAGGATTATGCATAACTTATTGGTGCTTCTCTTCTCCTCCCTGATTATCTTTCCACATCCCAATGCCAAGGGCAGCAGGAAGACAACCTAGCTGCTGCCTACAGTGGGGTGAGCGAACACACAGTTTCAGCCTTGTGGGGCAGAGGTGGAAAAAGGAGGGGTCTACTGATTCTAGACTTTGTCTTTGATAAGTCTCTATGCTGTGGGCATAGGCATGTGCATGGGGTGTACTCAGGCATACCCTAATGTCTCGGGCCAGCTAGCGGCTGCTGGAGGAGGGGGGGGGGGATTTGAGACAGGGAGCTGCAGCCCCTCACTTTCCCCCCAGCCATCTACAGGGCCCTTTGGGGCAGAGAGAGCGTGTGTATGGTGGAAGCAGCTGGGGCCTGACCACAGACGTCGGACCGAGCCATTTTTTTTGCCTGGACCTCGCATGGCCCGGCAGCACCGCACGGCACCCCTTCTGCAGCCAGGCCCCAGCCCTGTCCTCGGCCCCTCCCATCCCGGCAGCACTGCCCGGCGCCCCTTCTGCACCCAGCCCCAGCCCGGCAGCACCACATGGTGCCCCTTCTGTGCCCGGGGCCCCGGCCCCATCCTCGTCCTCGTCCCTGCCCGGCCCAGCAGCACCACATTGTGCCCCTTCAGTGCATGGGGTCCCGGCCTCATCCTCATCCCCACCTTGCCCGGCAGCCTGTAAAGTGGGGCACCCCAGGCTAGGGCCTGGCTGGCCTGTAGCTTGGGTCAGCTATGACTCCAGCACCACAAACTGGAAGGCAGAAGCCAGCTTAGCTAAAGGTAAGGGAATGGAAGGGAGAAAAATAGGGGGCGGGGTGGAAGAGGAAGGGGCTTGTGCTAAGGGAATGGGGGCAGGTCAGGAGAAGAAAGGGGAAGGAACCAAGGGACAACGTAGAGGAGAGACAAATGCCAGGGGGCCAAGTGCAGACAATGAGGAAAAGGGCAGGAGGGGTGGTTTCAGTAGGAGGGGAGACAGGGTGATGCTGGGAGAGGAGAGTGTAAGGGCATTGGGAGTTAAAGGGGGAGAGGGAGGTGCTGGGAGAAGGCTTGAAAGAACGGGTGGGCATGAGGAAGGCAAGGATGGAGCAAGGCATGTGTGAGGGCACAGGGGCACGAGGGAAATGGAGGCAGAGGGTGGTGAGGGGATGGGCATCAAGGAAAAAGAGGGCAAAGGGGGCAGGGGGGGAAAGGGGAGGTACCAGGAGGGTGCAGGGGTAAGGGAAAGTGCAGGTGCCAGGGGATTCTGGGGGTGAAGCAGAAGGGCAAACACCTGAAGGGGAGGGACTAGCACCAGAGGAGAGAGACAGTGCAGGTGTGTAGAGGGAGGTGTTAGAAGAGCGGCTGAGGAGGGGTAGCTAACATGATCAGAGAGGGGCTACTGGAGGAGTGGGCACGGGGGAGAAAGAAGTGTTAGTGGAGGGGGACAGGTATCAGGAAGGCTGAGGGCAGTGAGAAGGGCAAGAGTCAGGACAGCAGAGGAGGGTGAGGGGTTGGGGGGCAGCAGGCACCAGGGGAGCTGATGGAGCAAGGGGAAATATGGCAGCAGAGGGAAAAGGTAGAGGTTTATAAGATATTTATTAATAACTTGGGTGCCACAGTGGCACATCCAAACAAGCCACATGAACTCAGTACTGGTGCACAACACAAAATTAATCCTGCTCATGGGAGGAAACCCTTAGAGGGAACACTTCCCCCAGCCTCTCTGCCCCTGTGGTAATGTCACACACATTGGGTTAATGCAATTGCAGGATAGTTGCATGAGGGGGGTTTGGTGGGGGCCAAACTAATCCCTATTGGTAGGAGGATGGTGGGAAAAGTCCTTACAGCGGGGCGGGGGGGAGGAGTTGTCACATGAATCCTTTTACTTCTGGTCATGTGTCCATCTTTCCCCGAGAGTGTTACCTCCAGAGGTGTGGCCAATGGGAGTCTGGGTGTGGCCGATGGGGGGCGTGGTTATCGGGGTCAGGGGTGTGGCTAATGGGGGGTCAAAGTACATTTAAAAAAATTATTTGGGTGTACATCCTAATGAAATGTACTGTGCACTCCTATGGCTGTGGGCTGCATCAAATTAAGCAGGGGGTTGGATCCAGCCTTCAGCCCAGAGGTTCCCCACTCTTGTCACATGATATCAGATACAATTTTTTGCTATGACTATTTTAATGCGATGACTAGTGACAAGTTTCACCTACATTTTTTTTCTCTCTCACCAAACTCCAGGATAAAGGATCCTTTTCCCACTGCATGCCACTCCAAGAGACAAGTGAATCAATTAAGCAGGAGTGTAGGACATACATGGGGACAATTTTGAATTTATTATTTTCTTCTAATTATATTCCTATTTCTCTTTTCTTAGTTCATCAAATGACCAACTGGCACATAGAAAAACCTGATAAAAATATTCCCACGCTGAAATAGTATGGGACATTTTCAAAAGGGAAAGAAAACAGTGTACCCAAGTGTCAGAACACAGCTGCTGTGCTTGCAAAACTAATATTTGCAGACAAAATTTGTATCTGTTAAGTCTGTGAAACATTGGCCAAAGATTTTCCACCAAACTTTCCACTAATTTCTATCATTATTCCTTCCCCCTGTGATTTAATAAAGCACTGAACATTTCAAGGACTCAATTCATTTTTCATACATTGACTTCTCAGATCCATTTTGGGAGAGAACTAAGGGTTAGTCTGAGTTCAGTAAGAAGGCTGAGGTAAAACCCTGACAGAAGTCCCTCCACAGGGAGCTTGACAGAAAGCTTAATATGTGCAAAAAAGACTACCCATGAGAACAGGATGAGAACACAAGCTACCAAATTGCTTGAAGCTGGAAAAGCCCCTGGTGGCTGTAACCAAATATTGTGAGTTGTTTGCTCATTTTGAATCTACATTTGTTGAAAAGGCCAACTTTATATCAGACAGAACTGTAAAATTAAGAGGGATGTTAGATTTTATAGGTATTAAAAATCTGAAACCATTTTCAATTATATTCTCAAGTTACTGACATGGTAAGTAATTCCATTTTCCAGTTCTCACTGAAAACTATATAAATTATTGGTAAAATACAATTTTCCCTCCCTCTTTTTAAATCTGAGGGTGTGTCTAGACTATAGGATTTAGTCGACAAAAGTGGACTTCTGTCGACAAAACTATACCTGCATCTATGCTACCGCCGAGTTCTGTCGACAGTAAGTCGACAGAACGTGGCAGTATTGTTGACGGCAGTAAAGATCATTCTACGAGGAATAACGCCTTTTTCCGACAGAGTTATGTTGAAAAGAGGAGCTATTGCTTCCACACTGTACTTTTTCAAAAGAGAGCGTCTAGACTCTGTTGAAAAAACAGCTTGCTTTGTTGTCAGAACTGGCTGTAGTCTAGATGCTCTTTTTCGACAGAGGCTTTGTCAACAGTATCTGTCGACAAAGCCTCTGTCGACAAAAGCCTGTAGTCTAGACATACCCTGAGATGCTTCATTTTATGTTTATTTTATAAAGTAACCTGAGAAGTTATATAAATACATGTGGAGAGTTAGCATAGGTATACACGAGTATGTTTATTCATTATAAAAATTACAGTTCAAGAAAAACAATCTTCTTAAAAACCACAAATTTATATGGAGCATCTCCTCCAACATTTCTCCAGTAGCTCTTTTTGGATAGCGAAGATAAAGAAATTAAGATCTCTTCATCCATTAACTTAACTGGTACCTGCCTGAATATATATGGGATTTTAAGGGCACATCTACACAACAGGGCTAAAGCTGAAATAAGCTACGCAACTTGAGCTACATCAATTGTGTAGCTTAAGTTGAAATAGCTTATTTTGGCTTTTTGTGCGGTCTATACAGCAGGAAGTCTGAGAAAGAGCACTCTTCCTCCAACTTCTCCTACTCCTCATAGAATGAGGGTTACAGGAGCTGGAGTAAGAAGTCCTCCAGTTCGACATTATGTCAAAATAAATTGCTTGTAGTTTTGACACAGACTGTTATTTCAGAATAACATCAGTTATTCTGAAATAACACTGCTGTGTAGACATACCCTAAAAGTGCAGCACACAACATTCAGTGGCTGGGCCCTTGTCCCTTCCTAGCATCTGTCACCCATTGAGCAGAACTGATATGGGGCACTTCTACAGGCTCATTAGAAGGAGAAAACATGATGCTTTGGCTCTACCCCTTCTCCTGCTGTGTTGTGGCTAGTCTCTTCCATTTGACTTTTGCTCCTCTCTGTAGCTCACAGCACAAGGTAGTATAGAGAAATTTGTCATTCCATTAACTGATGATTTATGCAAGTGACTCCAACTCACATTAACAAGAGTTACCCTGACAGAGACTCCAGCACTGAACAGATGCTACCAGGCTCTCTCATTCATACAGCTTTAGCTATATCTTGATATTAAGAGCACAACTTCTGCTAACTTAAATGGTATTTCTACATTCAGATAAAGATATGCCCATGTGACAAATTTAGCTCTCCTGTGGAATTTTTTCTTTAATAACAAATAAGAGATATTGATCGTGGCATATAACACTGAATATCCGTCAATTACACCTTTGTACACAATAGATAATTTTATTGGGGCTAAATGGGCTTGCAATGGATCCAAACTGCCCCAGAGGGAGGTTAAAACTCCTGGAGTTCCCCGGTTTGATTGTTGCAGCATATGGTGTATGGATATTTAATAGTATGTCCACACTGAAAGAAAAAGGTGTGAGTGTCAGATTGTCTGGAATGGTTGATGACTGAATGTCAGGCTCAGGGCAAACTTACAAATCACGGCATAAGTCCCAAACTGTCTGAGGTATACATACGTAGATTTCACCAATCAGATATCATGTGTGAACTCCTCAGCCACAAGAAAAGACTTAACACGGGGTCTCTTTTGCCACCCAGGCAACCCTGCCTTTGTGATAAGTGATCCCTTACACCAAAAATCACAATAATATTCAGGTTACTTCCATTCCTAAAGTTTAGTCACTTACCCTTGGTCACGTGCACCCTAAGAATTCTTACCAAAGGCAACACTTGTAGCCAATCCTATGCAAAAAAACCCTCATCCGCAGCCATATATATATAAAAAAACTATCTTGAATTAATCTTGCTTCCAAAGTGTTCCTCTCAATTTTATTTAAAGTGAATCACTAACCAGTACTTTGAAATACTGTCAGATAAAAAGGAATAATGTTTATCCTGTCTCTTCCCATCACTATCCACAATTGCTGCTCTATTCATTTGTTATTTCCATTATGATCCTCATTTCTGGTGAGGTTTAGCATTTCAGTCATTTCAGCTTCACACAAATAAGAGCTGAATCTTGTGGGCACATGAAAGTCATATGTCAGTCATAAGTCAGTTTGTAACTGAGGCTAGTGGAAGCCAGTGTGACTGGTGTGTTCTAACAGACTCCAGGGGCCATAGCTGCCAGATCAGGGTTTTAACTACACACAGACACTTGGCGTGATCTGAATGCTGGTAAGCTGTGAATGGTCCAGGCTGGGAGCTAAAATAGAAAAGCATTGTAAGGCATCCTGAGTCTGAAGGGCAGACAGGGACAATCACTCATTGGTCTGGATTGAACCCCTGCATGTGACACATACTAAACCATTAGTATGTAATATTTGTTGGCTAATCTGTTCTCTACTACAGGAGACCCCCGTACTTACAACCTAATTGGTTCCTGGAGAACTGTCGTAAGTTGAGCCGTCGCAAGTCAAACCCTTTATTCCCCCCATAGGCACAATGATAAAAATGGGGGTTCCATTCCTGGCCCACTTTGCCTCCTGGGAGTTTTAGTCCATGGCACAAGCTGCTCCCAGAGCCAGCTGGGGGCTGTGCCAGGGGAAGGCAGAGTGGTGTGAGCTACTCTCAGAGCTGCCTGGGGGCTGTGGCAGGGGAAGGCAGCAAGGTGCACTGCTCCCAGAGCTGGCTAGGGGCTGTGCTGGGGGAAGGCGGTGGCCGAAGCAAGGTGGTCGTAAATTTGGGGGTCGTATGTTGGGCGGTGGTAAGTCAGGAGTCGCCTGGAAAGCTGAGCAACATAGTTTTCTGAAATCCCTTGCTGACATTGTTGGCATAGGCTCTTCATACATATTGTGGCTTGAGCTGTTATTATATAAACTAATCACATGAAGCATTCACCCCCTCTTCTCATGATATCATATCCCAGACAAATCTTTCATTCACTGTTTTGGGAGTCTGGGAAATGGATGAACTTGGTATAAATGAAAGCTAAGAAAAAGCTGCACTGGATTTTAAAGGTTAGGAACAGTGTTTGAACTGCACTGTTCAATCTTCTTCACAGAAACTTTGTTTCTGAATATAAATCCTGATTATCAACATTCCTATGCTAAGCACTGAGCCTCTCTAGAGCAGAGGCTACCAACTGGGGGCAGGTAGCCAAATTTCTCTGGAGTCCCCACAGTAGGAGGTCAATGGAAGAAACTCTCCCATCAACTTCTGTTATTTTTTGTGACTGCTAAATCAAATGCCGGAAGATTGACCTTTGCGGCACTGATGCTCTACTTAGTATAGACGTGGCCTGGACTTCACTGGTAATGGTTTTGTTATGTGGAAAATAAATGCTCTTTGGACATGTCATGGCTCCTTCCCCACTCTGGCACAATAAATGCAGAATTGAGGGCCAGCAAAATCACTCCAAAACCTTATCTTTCCAGGCATTGGTGAAAATTTCCCCCCAAATCTTAACCACCTAGTTTTGGGGATAAAAACTCTGCTGCCACCACCTATGTAGTAATGAAGAAACCAGGGAGAGATTATGTGGGAAATCTCACTCCCGAAAGTAAAACTAGGACACAAAAATTTACCAATACCAGGTTAATAAAAGAAAAGAGAAAGAACTTTTATCACCACTACAATATTCCTGTTGCAAGCATCACAGCTAGATGAAAGTCACAAAGTAATACCCATGGTAGGAGAACCCCACCATGGGCCTAGAACTTAGTTACAAAAGAGAGCAAAAAGACATTTTTAAAAAGTGCACAGACATCAGATCCCATTTTCAAAACCATAAAATAATAAAACCTAATGGGTTTATCTAAACTTTACCCTACTTACAGAAGAGTGAAGAGTCTATTCCTGGAGGGAGACATTCTGTCTGCCTCCCTCAGTAGCTGGAGAGAAACTGCTCAGGACAAAGGAGGGAGAAACCAAAACAATCCTTTGTCCCAGTTAGAAATTCCTACTTACATTCCTATTGACCAACTCTACCTGGGTTAGGTATGTTAACCCCTTAGTCCCTAGGCTGCTGGCTAACCCTCATGATCATGACAGGATAATATAGGAGATTACCAAATCCATTGTCATTTATAAACTAAGCAGGATTACAAACCTGAGAGTCACATTGTGCCTGATCCTGGCACAGATGTGCCAAAGTAAAGACACATGCAGGCTTCAACCTCTAGATCAATCGAGTTATCTATCTGCTGCAGTGTGAATACATTTTATTGTAGACTCGGAGCACAATAGGATAATGTTACTGTATAGCTAATTGCACTAAAGTTTAAATCCTACTCAGATTCTGAAACCTGAATAATTTATGGGACTAACTGGCTTTGTATCACACCAATGCACATGTAAATGACACAGTATGATCATTAAAAGATAGCGTGATCGTATTTTTTGAGAATCATTAATAATAGCCCACACAAACAGAAATCATTTAAAAGAGTGCATTAGACACTACATATTATCTCGTGGCAGATTACCCTACCTCAATTTTCCATGTTGTTCTTAATTACGCTATTAGCAAAATTTTGGACAGTTACAATGACACTAGTTAAATTTGCCTAATGAAAAACAGCATGTTGTCTTAGCAAAAATACACCTTGCTCTCAGCTTCAAATTGCAATGCATTACCAGAAAGAGTGGCCACATGACATATTTATCAATATATGAATGTTTCAGTGGAACTCTGCAAATAAACAATCACTGTTCATATTAGTAATAACAAAAACATCTAATAAGGATTACTTACTTGATTAAGAATGTCTTGTTTCTGTAGTGCATGCAAAGAGAGAAAAAGAATACACATTAATTCAGCATAGTAACACAGACTCTGTTTTTCTAAGGAGACTATTTTAGCTGGAAGTTTAGTTTTGTAGATAACAGGTTTGAAAGGAAAAAAAAACATTCCTTTATTTTATGTTAGCATAGTTGTTAAAAATTAGTCTAGTCTTGATTAGTTAAATAGTGTAAGCATTTGATTTTTAACCATGCAATGACATTCAAGGAAAAACAATGAAAACGTTTTCAAACTTTCATCATCAGTTCTATGTACTCTATGTAAGTTACCTGTTGTCAGCAATGAACGTCAACAACAGGTGTTACAGAAACAGTTCTAAGGTCAGGCCTGGAAGGTTGGCTTAAGTTATGTAATACCCGCTACATAAATGAAAATGTAGCTGAGTCAACATATCTTATGCAAAGCTTGGTGCTGTCTTCACAGTGACAGGTCAATGGGAGCATATGCTCCTGTAATCTTTCCTTACTCCTTGTGACTGGGAGGAGTATTGGTGTTGACCGGGGGCATCCTCAGCATTTGATTTAGTGGGTCTTTACTGAAGATCAATGTCGGGGTTAGCAAATTAACTGCAAGCACGGAGAAGGATAGAAGCCAGTCAGCACCACTTAAAAAATTATTAAATTCCTAAATTCCCAGCATTTGTACAGTAAGTAAATCAAAACAGTTTTGGATGAAGGGATTGTATACATTTTTCCCCATGTATTCACAAATGCTCAAAACTACTTCAGAGCAAAAATTGCCACTCTAGATGTATCTATAAGAGATATATCTTGGGTATGAATTATATCAACTGACCCAAAATCTAGTTAACAGAATTAAGAAGGTAGAGCCTCATGCACTTACAGAATTTTGAGTTCAGCTAATCTCAGATCTTTGAAAACCAGAAAATATACAAAATATACATGCCAATAAAACCTTAACTCTACCCGATGGAGCCAGTAATTTTCACTGAAAAATATCTGCATGCACTCCAGCAATGTGTTAAGTGTAGCTGCATGAATAGCGGAAGGATGATCTAGAGAAATTCAGAAAAGCTGGGATTGCAATATGAGAAGATCTGAGGTACCTCTTCCTCTTAGTTTATGATAAAGAGATGCATTTATACCACAAGATATCAATATGCTTTACTGAAGCACAGAGTTCTATTGGTTGTGTCAGTAGCAGTGTGTAAGGGGTTTCTTGCCATGAGGATTCTCAGCAGTGAGGCAGAAGAGTAGAATAGTCTGTTGGTTAAAGGACACCTAACTGAAGATAGTGTTAGACAGAATACTGTGGATAAGGGCAAAAAGTTTGTACCAAGGGATATTTCCACGATTGGTGTTCCTCTGAAATAGACTCAGTGTTTGAGTGTATGGCAGGTGTAGGTAGCTACTGTTCATTATACTTCACAAACATCAGTTTGCCTCAAAGTTGTTAGATCCGTCATTGTAACAGTGATAGTATGTCTTATTCCCTGTTATTGGAACAGGATACCATACTCAAAGAGGCTCTGGGAGACAGACCCATAGTCTCCTATAGACAACCACCTAACCTCAAGATGATTCTTACCAACCACCACAGGACATACCACACTAATACCAACCCTGGTACCTTCCCTTGCAACAAACCCCGTTGCCAGCTTTGTCCACATATTCATTCTGCTGATACCATTATTGGACCTAACCAAGTGAGTTATAAGATCAAGAACACATATTCCTGCGCATCCAGAAATATAATCTATGCTATCATGTGCCGAAAGTGTCCGTCTGCTATGTACATTGGACAAACATCTCAGACACTTCGCCAAAGGATTAATGCCCACAAAACAGATATCAGACAAGATCACAAAGAGAAAACAGTTTCTTGCCACTTTAACCAGAAAGGACACTCTCTAAATGACTTAGCCACCTGCATTCTGCTACAAAGACCTTTTACATCTGCACTTGAAAGGGAATCCTCTGAACTGTCATTCATGTTAAAATTCGACACTTGCCAACAAGGACTTAACAAGACTTTGAACTTTCTCACCCATTACTAAGACAGTTTCCCCAATTATCACCTGTAATACCATTAACTCACAAACATCCCACTCTCCCTACCTTTAATATCAGCAATTCACAGACACTTACCTTCCTTCCTCCCTCTTCCCACCCCCCCGCATCCCCGTTCTGTTCTGCAATGTGATTTGTCCTTTTCATATTTGTTCATTTTTTTTAATTGTATCCTTTGGTATATATGGTTGTGACTACTTTCTTCCACTATTTGATCTGAGGAAGTGGGTCTGGCCACGAAAGCTCATCATCTAATAAACCATCTTGTTAGTCTTTAAAGTGCTACATTGTCCTGCATTTTGCTTCAACTACCCCAGACTAACACGGCTACATTTCTATCACTATTCTTATTCCCTTAGCATGCTGCAATATCTACAGGGCAGAAGTTTTGTGTGTGTTTTTGAATAATGACCCAACATGCCCATAGAGATGTAAGAACACATTTATATGGACCTTAACAACATAAGAATGGTCACATTGGGTCAGACCAAAGGTCCATCTAGCCCAGTATCCTGTCTTCCAACAATGGCCAATGCCTGATGCCCCAGAGAGAGAGAACAGAACAGGTAATCATCACGTGATCCCTCCCTGTCACCTATTTCCAGCCTCTGACATTATGGGCAATATTCCTACCCATCCTAGGCATTGATGAAGGGCCTAACCTCCATAAATTGACCCTATTAAAGTCCTGGTCTTCACAGCATTCTCTGGCAAGGAGTTCTACAGGCCGACCATGCACTATGTGAAGAAAAACTTCCTTTTGTTTGTTTTAAACCTGCTACCTTCTCATTTCATTTGGTGACCCCTAGTTCTTATGTTATGGAAACAAGTAAATAAGTTTTCCTTATTCACTTTTTCCACATAAGTCATCATTTTAGACCTTTATCATATTTCCCCATTAGCATAGAGAAGTTACTAATTTTGTGCAGTTAATGATTATTCTTCGAGATGTGTGTCCCCATGAGTGCTCCACTGTTGGTGTTGGGCTTATCATGGCACTATGGATCAGAGACTTTCAAACAGTTATCCGGCGGGCTGCACATGTGTGAACAGAGAGTCACATAAGTCATCATTTTAGACCTTTATCATATTTCCCCATTAGCATAGAGAAGTTACTAATTTTGTGCAGTTAATGATTATTCTTCGAGATGTGTGTCCCCATGAGTGCTCCACTGTTGGTGTTGGGCTTATCATGGCACTATGGATCAGAGACTTTCAAACAGTTATCCGGCGGGCTGCACATGTGTGAACAGAGAGTGGCATTCCATGTGCAGCCTGCTTTTCCATCTTTCTTCTTTAACGCCCTCATAGGCTGCTATTATTGCCCAAAGAAGTGGGGAGCAGGGTGAGTCATGGAGCACCCACATGGACACACATCTCAAAGAACAATCACTGCTACAGTAAGTGAGTAACTTCTCTTTCTTCTTCGAGTGATGTCCCTGTGGGTGTTCTACTGTTGGTGACTGTGTAGCAATGCCCATTGAGATGGATGGTGGGCTTTGATTAATTGCTACAAATTGTGGAGAGGACTGCATTGGCTACTGCGGTATCTGTTGTGGAGCACGGTGGAAAAGAATAGTGCTTCATGAATGTGCAATTTGTTGACCATATCACTGCACTGTGCATTTCCTAGAGAGTGAGACCCCATTTAAGGAAGCAGCTGATGTCACCATCACCCTGGTAGAATGGGCCCTTGGAGTCATCAGTAATGACCTGTTCTGGAGTGAGTAACAGGTAGCAATGCATGATGTTATCAGCCTTGAAATGTGCTGAGAAGACAGAGGTTGTGTCTTGGACCTCTCAGCTAGGGATACCAGCAATCTCTGGGATAACCGAAAGGATTGAGACCTATCAAAATAGAACGCAATTGCCCTTCTAACATCCAGAGTGTGTAAAGTGGCCTCCTCTTTGGAGCAGTGTGGCTTTGGATAGAAGGTAGGAAGGACGATTGATTCATTGACATGGAATTCCAACCCATAGGGAACCGCTGTGGGATGATGCCCTGTGAGCCATTGCTGAGTCTCCCGGTACATGAGGTGGTGGCCTGGGTGCAGTTGTGAACCCAGGGGATGTAAGATTAGTGTGAAGTACTGGAGGGCAGCTGGGACTAGCCCAGTCACTTCCCGGAACCTGTGGTGGAGATTGCAGAGGGGGTTCACATTGTGCCAAGGATACTGAGTATGCTCGAGGCACCCCAGGTATCCTTGATGCCATTGGTGCTTCTGTTATATTAGGGCCCTTAGGAGGTACCCTTTTTGATGCCTAGGCAGGTGGTTTGACCACCTGTTTAGAGCATGCTCTTGAGCCTGTCATAGAAGAGGAATGAGATTTCCCCATGCCCGAGGTGCCCAGTTCATCCTCCCCTTTCCTGATGCTTGGGGGGGGGGATGGAGAGCAGGCTGGTGAGGGTCTGGTTTCTGACCCTGCCTTCTGAGGTAAAGGACTGGAGAGATTGCCCTGAGGGGATTTTGTACTCTAGCTCTTATTGCCCCCTTTATAGCTATGGGGCTCAAGAGCTGTGTCAATAGACTGTGAGCTCTTTCCTTGAGACCCCTCGCTGTCAGGCTGTGGCAATTGACACATTTTTGTTGTACATATCTGTCCCCCAAACAGCGTATGCATTTTCTGTGGGCAGCAGAGGCTGGCATAGGCTCCTGGCTTCTTCCACATTTCTTGTCCTTAGGTAGGATTGGCATGTCGCCCCAAGGCTGAGTATACCACCCAACTTGTGTAACCCAAGCTGCCTGCTTGGGTTATTAGTTGGTTTATTTGTTAGGGTGGGTTTTGTTTTGTATTTTTGGTTTCAGTTTGATTGGGCTGCGGCCACTTGTCCCTGTGCAGCAGTGAGAGCTCCTAGCAGCTTTTTTTGTTTGTTTTTGTTTGAATAAAGAGAGGAGTCTATCTAAAGTACTCAATTGATTGTCAATTGGTTATCTTTGATAT